ATATTGAATGAATCCAACATGATGGAAATGAGCTGTTTTCAATTTACAAGCACTTCCTGTTACAGCGCGCGGTTTAAATCAGCACGAGGCACGCATGCGCTGGAGTTTCCCGCGGACAACCTGGGAGCAAAGTTGATCACCGCTCTTTTTCAGTTCATTTCACAAAGGTAAGGAATATTATTTTATTTATATATGAAAAAAACTATTGTTTAAATGGTCTACTTTATCTAATATAGGCGTCAATAAAAAAAAATATAAGTTAAGGTCTTCTATTTAAAAAGATATTGGTGATAGTGCTCTTGAAAAATAAAGATGCTAATTCGTTCATGTAACATGAACGGTTTGCCAATATTTTTGTAGATTAACGTTACTATCTAAGTGACCTTTCGTGGCCTAATATCCACATCACGTATTGCTACGTTTGAACTAGGGTGTTGCTCAAAGTATGGAAAATCACGTTTTACACCGATGAATGGCTGAAGGGGTTCATTTTAAAACCATTTAACGTTAGCGCTGCCGTTGAACCTCTTCTTTTCAATCCATCACGTTGGCATATTACGAATAATAATCCATAAACAAGTGCATTTTGTTGCACAACATCGTAAGGTTAGAAATCGAGCATCGAATTTTTTTATACGTTACATTTGTGAGGACCTGACCTGGCGATCTGCCAGGACGTTACGCGCTAATCTACAGTAAACACGAGCAACAATGAAAGCTTGTATGTATTTTATTTACCCTCGAATCCTCGAATCCATTCATTCCTCAGTTACATGCTGTTAGGAGCTAGCAATTAGAGTAAACGGGCATTCTGCACGGAAGCCCTGATACGGAAGCCCTGAACTTGGTTTATTTGGTGTTTCAGGAAAAACAAAATCGCTATAAATGTTAGATATTTTGGTATACAGTGTTATTAACATTCCACATTTCTATCAACATTATTTTTGCAGACATGCAGAAGAGAATTTTAGAAGAAGAACAATGAAAAGATGATAAAGGAGATGAGCAAAGATGAACAAAACATTTGCACATCGACGACACGAAATCATTATGATCAATGTCCATGTGTGCAAGACAAAAAGGAACGATGGACAGCCCTGTTTCAACCTTCTCAAGTAAGTTAACAATACTCAGAGACAAAAAGGAACATAATGTATCTGAAAACACCCTCTCAAAACGTGAAATTAATTTGACTCGCATTCCGTATTTCAGGTGAATGCAGAATTTCACAGAATAACCACTGTGCAGCTGGAACCTAAATTGGTCCTCACTGGATCTTCACACTCCCAAGCTGTTGACAACTGTTTCGTGCCAAAGGAGGAGCACTCGGAGAAAGACTGAAAACTGAGATGGAACTACTGAAGGTACAGTTTAAAATGCAAGCCATTTGGCTACTTGTTGTTTTATGTAAGTGTGAGAGGAATTGTTTATTCTTGTATTTTTCTTCATGATCAGCAGGTAGTACTTCCCTTTCTACTGTAAATTAAATATTAAACGTGATGATATTTAGGTTCTCAAACAAAAAAGCTGACATGCATTTATGTGTGACAACAGTTCAGTGAGGTTATGTTTTTTTGCCTTCAGTTAATTTCATGGACTTTCACAGAAAATATTAAATAAGTTGTTTATTTATATATGTTTAATTTCAATTAAAGTATCAACTTCAGTTTCAAATGTAAATCAGTTGTACAGAGGACAATACAGTGTCGGTAGGTTTTTATTCAACAACCTCTTTTGATAGATTCAAGCACTGTTTAATTTATAAAATTTACAAAAAATTTGCTTCATCTGTTTTTTAGCCCATGTGATCAAGCCAAATCGTGAAAGTAGCAAGGAACAAAATACTATGGAGGCAAAAACACCTTGGGAGTGGCTTATACAGTTTGTTGCTCACCTGTTGACATTTTTTGCACCCCTGTTTTACACCACTAAATGAACCTCTGCTTGCCAAACAAAGACCTCACATATTTGAACATTTTGTCTAGAAAGAGAAAAGTGACAAAAAAAGTAGGGATGCACCGATATGAAAATTTTGGCTGATACCAATAACCGATAATTCTTTATTTTTGAAAGCCGATAACCGATATGTTGGCCGATAAATATATATCCAAATTTGTATATACTTTTTGAGAGCCTGATTACAGAAAAGGTCTCATCATTAAAAACCACATCCCGAACACTTCAACATAAGCAGCCTAGTTTGAACGGTGTATGTTTTAAAAATAATTTTACTCTCCCATTACCAAATTTAGTCATAAAAAAGTCTTACAAATAAAATAATGCATAAATA